CTGGTGGCCAGGAGGCAGACTTGCAGAAGGTGCCCTTTGGAGATGTAAATTATTATATGCCTGAGTGGTTTTGTTTGTTTGTTTGTTTGTTTGTTTTTAAAAAAACTAAAGTGGGTAGAGAGAAATACTGTTAACTGATGGTACATGAAGAGGATTATAATCATTGTAATGAAACAAGGTGTATGATTTGTTGAATGTAAAACTGATGCTATGCCCTGTAATCTTTCACTCAATCCACAATAAAAACCTTAAATAAAAAAAATAAAAATAAAAAAATTCAAGAGCCAGTATACCATTGAATATAATCTGGGACCACCCTGAAAGGTACCCATAGAGTTGAATCACCTTCCTGTGGGGGCTAAAAATAGTACAGGGCAAAGCTTTCATAGGGAAGCAAATCCTTTACAATTCATCTAGCCCAACCTCAGAACCTCTGTCATGCCTTTTACAAATGGCAAAACTAAGACTCCAAAGGGAACAGCTGACTTAAAATCTTAAAGTGAGCCAGTGGCCTGAGCTCTACCCGTAGCCATTTTCCAACTTTGGTTTGTCTTTGGTCTCTAGGTGAGGAATTTGAGGCTGGTAGCATCACCTCTGTGTTTAGTAACCGAGCCATTGTGAAATACAGTCGGCTGGAGGACGTGTTGCACGGCTGCTCCTGGAAGGTTAACAACAAGCTAGATGGGACATACCTTCCCCTGCCTGTGGACAAGATCATCCAGCGTGCCAAGACGATGATTAACAAGATAGTGCAGTACAGCCTCATTGATGGAAACTGTGAGCACTTTGTCAATGACCTCAGATATGGTGTGCCCAGGAGCCAGCAGGTACTCCACCTTTTACTGAATGATGGCTTGTTATGGAAATTTTGGAGAGATTGTCAACTCACCAGTGACCAGGGAAGCCATCTATGGCATCATTATATTATTTGTGGTACTAATAGGACCTTCTAGTTCAATAGGATTTTATGGGTCAGGAAGTATTTTCACCTATACTAATTCACAGACTCACAAGCATATGACGTGATTGAAAACTCCATGGCTTGGGTCCGGGGCACCTTAGTCCTCCAAGTGACAGCTTTGCTCTCTAACACTTTCCAGAGGTCTTTTGCAGCAGATTTGCCTGATGCAATACATCGTTTGGTTTCTAGACTGCTGTTTCCACGACCTTTGATTGTGGAACCAAGCCAAAATGAAGTCTTTGAAACTGTTGGTCCAGTTGTGAGGATTTCTGTTTTCTTTATGTTGAGATACAATACTTACTGAAGGCTATAGTCTTTGATCTTCATCAGCAAATATTTCAAGTAATTTCGCTTCCAGCAATCAAGGTTGTGTCATCTGCATATCTCAAGTTGTCAATGAGTCTTCCTCAAATCTTGATGCCACGTTTTTCTTCATATAAACCAGCTTCTCAAATTATTTGCTCAGCATACAGGTTGAATAAGTATGGTAAAAGAATACAACCCAGTCACGCACCTTTCCTGATTTTAAATCACTCAGTAACTCCTTGCCCCCTTGTTCCATTCAAATGACTATCTCTTGGTCTATGTATTGGTTCCTCATGAGCACAATTAAGAATTGATGCATTTGAATTATAGTGTTGGTCGTTGGATGTTGATCGTACCATGGACTGTCAGAAGAACAAACAATTCTGTCTTGAAGAAGTATAGCCAGAGTGCTCCTTAGAAGTAAGAATGGCAAGACTTTGTGTCTCGTACTTTGGACATGTTGTCAGAAGGGCCCAGTCCCTGAAGAAGGCCATCATGCTTGGTAAAATGGAGGGTCAGTGAAAAAGAGAAAGAGCCCCAACAAGATGGACTGCCACAGTGGGGGTAACAGTGGCCTCAAGCATAATAACAATTGTGAGGATGACACAGACAGTGTTTCATTCTATTGTGCATCGGGTCACTGTGAGTCTGTCTGAATCTACTCAAAGGCACCTAACAGCAACTACAACCTACAGACAGATAACAGTCGTCAAGTTGACGCTGAATCATGATGGAGAATGGAAAGTTGACCAGTCCTGCATTACACTCATGATTGCTGGCATGTTGGAGTCCACTGCTGCAGTGATTGTACCAGTCTGTATCATCCAGGGAGTCCTGGTGTGGCACTGTATGATAAGCACTGAACTGTTAACCAAAAGGTTGGCTGTTTAAACCCACAAGCCACTCCTCAAAACCCTATACAGGGTCACTATGAGTTACAACTGACTCTATGGTACTTAACAACAACAACAGAGCATCAAGTGTCACCCTATCCCTCACTGGCCCTCGAATTCACCAAATATGATGACTTTAACAATTGATCCCTCCTTATAACATATCCAAAGCATTGTACCATTTGTACAATGAATGGTCTGTTGTACTTTGTAAGGTTTTCATTGGATAGTTTTAATCTGGAAGCTCTGCTAAAACAGGTCTATCGTGAGTGACACTATGGCTGGAAATAGCAGCGACATGGTTGCCAGTGTCATCGTAACACATGCAAGTTACCACAGAATGACAAACTGAGATCGGCAGGGGACACTAACCTGTAGAGGAATAGCAAAACGACTGGACTTGTAGAAAGACCACCCAGGTGTAGCCCAAGCTCAACCGTAGTTAGTGCAGTCTCTATTTCTGAGATGTTCTTGCTTTACAAAATGGGGATAGATCAAGGTAGCTATTTTACTCCTCACCAGCCAGTCGGTCAGGCAGTGGGCCCACACTGCTGCTTGCTGAACTCTCTGGAGCCAAGTAAGGTGGGTAGGGACAGTTGTACCAACTCTCAGCTTTACTCACAGTCCCTGCTTGGCCCCTACTGCATTTGGGTTTGTGAACTTTCACCACTCTTGGTTGTTAAGTGTCTTTGAATTGGTTCCAACTCCTAGCAACCCTGAACGGGGCTTCCAAAGCTTTAAATCTTTGTGGGAGCAGAAACTTCATCTTTCTCCCATTGAGCAGCTGGTGGGCTCAAACCGCTGACCTAGTGGTTCCCAGCCCTGAACTTACCCTATGAATCCACCACTATAGAGGTAGTCATACATTGACTGTAGCATCATACATGTGAAAGAGCTTTGGAAAGCCTAAATATCGGTAATAATTTTGGCTTCTCTTGCTAATATCTGACCCTTACTAAAACCCCATCAGATGAGCAGAGGAACTCTTATTATCCCCTTTTTATAGATGAGAGTCCTTGGGAGTGCAAATGATTAACACGCTTAGGTGCTAGCGAAAAGGTTGGACGTTTGTGCTCATCCAGAGGCACCTTGGGAAGAAAGCCTGGTGATTTACTTTTTGAGAAATCAGTTATTGAAAACCTAGGAGCACAGCTCTACTCTGATATGCGTGGGATCACCATGAGTCAGAATTAACGTCACAACTGGTGGTGGCGGCTTTCTAGATGAAAAAAAATCAAGGTTAAAAGTTTAAAGATAGAAAATCACTTTCTGTTAGTTCACAGGCTGAACTCAAGTTCGTGTCTTTTGGTCACTTTCCTATTGCACTCTCAGGCTCTCCCTACCCATCGATACCCTGTGCCTCTTCTTCTTTTGTGCTCTGTGTCCTCCCTGCATTTCAGTCTTGTGAGGTCTTGCTTAGGTGTCTGTGGCTTGGTTGGCTCTGGTGTAAGGGATTTTTCTATCCCAAAGCATTTGTACATGAGAAAAAATTACTGTCAATTTAAAGGGGATTCTATTTGGCTCTCCTAAGGATACCAAAAGGCGCTCTGGTGGTGCCTTGGATTAAGTGTAGAGTTGCTAACTGAAAGGTTGGTGGTTCAAACCTCATAGCCACTCCACAAGAGAACGAAGAGGCAGTCTGCTTCTATAGATTTGAAGTCTCAGAAACCCTATGGAGCAGTTCTACTCTGTCCCATGAGTCAAAATCAACTCAGCAGCAGTAGGTAAGGATCCCCATTCCAAGAATCCTGAGACCAAGCCCAAAGCTAAGCCCAGACATGAATTCACCAAGTGATTTGTCCAAGTGATTGCCCCTCTCTGGCTTTCATGTTCTCCGTGGGAAAAATGAGGGTCTCATTGGCTGTGACTCTCTTACATCCTTTGACACTCATAGGTTCTCACACTGGAGGCAGACCCTGGGCAAAACAGCTCTGAGGAAGGAAGAGAACCAGAAACCCCAGATGCTCCCAGGGCAGAGGAAGCAAGGTTGTCTTCGATGTCTGTCTTGGAACCCTGGTTTTTCTTGACTCTTGCAGATCCAGGTTTTTAGGAATCTAGCAGAACAAAGGCTGCTTCCTCCTCTAGAAAAAAGCTCCAGTCAGGCCAGTTCCTGAAGGGGAGCACTGGGGCAGGGGCAGGGGAAGGCACGGGGCTACGACTGTGAATGACCATCATGAACTGATCTTTGCAGGTCGAGCATGCCTTAATGGAAGGAGCAAAGGCTGCAGGAGCAGTTATCTCTGCCATGGTGGATAGCATAAGACCCAAACCAGTGACTGCCTGAAAGTGCTGAAAACTCCAAGTAGAGGAAGAGCTATATTGACACCAGCAAACAAGACAGGCCCCTTGCCGTCCTCTCTCAATGGGCCCCTGTGAAAGATTTGTGAACTTCTAGAAGAATCTAGAATGTACCAAATTACCCCCTGCAGAAAATACATCCAATATATGTGATCATGGAAATGACAAGTTGGTGTTGGTGATGTTAGTTGCCCTCAAATCGATTTTGATTCATGACAAACCCATATGTTAAAAAGCTGAACTTCTCCGGAACCTTTTATTGACTGTAATCTCAATGGAATCAGATGGTGAGATCTATCTTCTGGGGTACCGCTGGGTGGGGTTGAAGTGTTACACCTTAGGTTAGAGGTTGAACACAATCATTTAAGGCATCTAGGGAACTTTGAATAAGGAGAATTCATACTTACCATATTTCTGTTATGTGTCAGGCACTTAGCTAGTCATTTCTTATACTTATCTAATGTTAGGGGTGTGTGTGTGTTTTAAAATAGGAGTAAGTCTTGCTTTTTTCTTAGACTGACTCTAGTCTTACCAAGACCTATTCCTTTTAAAAACACTAACATACCTAAAATTAAATAAGTACAAGAAATGGCTAGCTAGGACACTGTCTGAAACATCTGGAAACCTCTGCTTGAGCATTCCTAGTAATGAAGAATTCTTTTCATAAGTTCTTTTTATTGAACTAAAGTGTGTCTCTAGCTTCTTTTCATTCATCCTCGTCCTGACCAACAGTGTAGTTTGGAGAGGCAGACTTTAAGGAAGCCTGTAACTTGCTATTTAGGACCAGCTGAGCCTTCATCTAGGAGCACATTTTCCAAGAAATATTTTCTTTTGTTGTTCCAAAATCCTCAGTTTAAGTTATAATTGGTAAGACCAATGATCCTTTTTCTTTCATTTCTATTGTTGTTGTTATTGAGAATATGCAGTTGGACTTTGATTGGAGGCACTGACTCCACACAATTGAAAATTCCTGTTTAACTTTTGACTCCCCCCAAATTTAACTACATAATCAGCAATTAACACACATTCTGTATATATATTAAATACTGCACCCACATAAAAGCTATATTTTCAATAAGATACAAAGGTATTTTACAAAAAGTTCAAGGTTTTCCTATCTGCTGGTGTAGCTGCAGTGACGGCAATATTAATTTCCTTTCCTTCTTTTAGCTTGCTTATCTGGCCTGTGCCAAAAAACAACACCAAACAAAGAGATGGATTTTGGAGAATGACAGTGGGTCATCATAAATTTAACCAGGTGGTGGCTCCAATTGCAGCTTCGGTTCCAGATGTTGTTTCATTGCTTGAGCAAATTAATGTCTCCCCTGGTACCTGGTACACAGCTATTGACCCAGCTAATACCTTCTCCCAGTTTCTGGTTTCTGAGGATCACCAGAAGCAGTTTGCCTTCACCTGTTAAGGCCACCAACATACTTGCACTATCCTACCACAGAAGTGCATCAGCTCTTCAACTATTGTTGTTAAATGCCTTTGAGTCTGTTCCAACTCATAATGATGCTGGATAAGGTTTCCAAGGTCATATATTTTTTGAGACCAGAAATCCTTATCTTTCTCCTGCAGAGTAGCTGGTGGACATGAACTGCCAACCTTATGGTTCACAGTCCATTGTTTATCATATAGAACCTCT